CCACACACACCTTTTTGTGAAAAGCTCTTTTGCAAACAGGCTTCTTCCTCATAGAATGAGGATAACCAATGCCAGAAAAACCCCTCTGTTTTGATTTTCTTACAGAAGAATGCAATTGCAGTGTGGACGTTCCTTAAGTTTTGTCAGAAAAACAGCTGTTTTTCCAACAAAACTCCATAGTGTAGACATACCCTTATGGAGGGAAGAGCCACATCTTGCCAGTAGTTGCAGTTATTTCCTGATAGGAAAGGAATGTTGAGTCTCAGCATTCCTGGATTCAACTCCAGGTTCTGGAGGGTTTACAAATCCTTTTGTTTTCTTTCCTGCTTCTGTTTTCCCTGGTTCCTGTCTCTACTTCATGACTCTTGCCTCCCCATCCCCAACTCCTGCTTGGTCCTATCCTTTACCCCCCAACCCCATCTGCATTCAAGTCAGACTGCTTTCTTCTCCCTGCCTTTGTGTAATCTGGGGGCAGTTGAGAGTAGAATGGAGACATTACTCATGTTCACAATTCCTGAAACTGCCAACTAAATGACCTCCAACAGCTAGGAGCAGCAATCAAATTGGAATTCTTGCTCAGCTTGGGCTGCAGCAAACTTAGTTGCTCTGTGGAAATGGCTCATACATAGTCTGGTCAGCAAACAGAACCTGTGAGAGGATGGAGTGCACTCAGGACAGATAGCAAAATTCTCTGAAAATTCTAACAAATTCTAACAAGTCTCCGTGGAACATGTGCAAACTAGTTTTTCAAGGCTTAGATTTTTCACAAGGATGGTAAAAGGCAAATCCCTGATATCTTCCCAAGACCCTATCAAATTTCATATCCCCCGAGCTAAAGCATGGAGACATAAGAGCATCTCAGGAAATCTTTTTTCCCTAGCCTGGTTCTCAGAAATGGCTGAATCATTGTGGCTGAAACTTTCCAAAACTAATCACTTTAGCAGATACCCAGTACAAAATATTTCAGCCTGAGAATTTTAATTGTGGAAAATTTATAAGTAATCAAACACAAAGAATCTTATATTAGAAAGTACTGATCAACCTTAATTCCACGGATTGCTTTCTGTACCACCTTCCTATGATAATATTTGAGGGCGACAATAACAAATATGCATGTATATTATCTTGTGGTGGGTTTGGTTCAGTTCTCCTGTTTTTGGAAAATATCATTCCTACACTGTTTTATAATAGCCAATTATAGGTTATTCCAGGGACATATATCATGCAAATCAGCTTATATGTTTCATACATTATTTCTCTTGGGTTTGGAACCATTATTAACATTGCAGTGCAGCACACAAATGTGTGCTATAATTTCTCTAAATAAGCATTTGGTGTCCATTATTTATACCTAAATATAGTGTGTTCCAATAATATTGTGAAGGCTAATAATAATAACAGATATATTTAGGGGATATCCTTACAGGGTCAATCAATTTCTCTTTCCTTCGCCCATCAGCCACCTTCTTCATAAATTATATCATCATCACTTAAGAGTAATATACAGAATTGTACACAAAATTCTCTTTAGATTTATTAGACTGGTTTATATTTCAATATGTTGTCCATCTGTTGTTGATTGATTTTAACACCTAATAGTTTATGAATCACTCTTTATAATAATTAATGATGGAAATAGTGTGTTCAATTACTGTTTGTCATTTATTTATACTACTTTGATATTAATATCCACAGAAATATATCATTTAAATAATTGTTATGATGATTCATTGATATTACAACATATTGGCACTTAATTTTCCTTAAAATTGCCCACTGAGTGGTAAATTATCCCAACATTTCATTATCTATTCTGAGCAAGCACAACAGACTATATTTTTTCATATTGCATTGTATTTGTCAACCCCTGGTATATACTGTCAGTTCCTGAATGTACTGTGTTAGTCTATTGGACCTTACTTTAAAATTTGCTTTAAATATTTCATTACAGCATCACTGAAGATTATAATATCACATCTCTAAAAAATCATCCTCTCCTCCCCCCTCACCCGAGCTGGCATTAGGCCTAGGAAATTACATAGGGCCCCATAAATACTAAGGACAGCCCCACTAACCAACTTACAATCCCAGAGGCTACGTCTACACTGGCCCCTTCTTCGGAAGGGGCATGCTAATTTTGAAAGTCAGAATAGGGAAATCCGTGGGGGATTTAAATATCCCCCGCGGGATTTAAATAAACATGGCCACCGCTTTTTTTCTGGCTTGGGGAAAAGCCGGAAAAAAGCATCTAGACTGGCCCGATCCTCCGGAATAAAGTCCTTTTCCGGAGGATCTCTTACTCTTATACCTGAAAGTAGGAATAAGAGATCCTCCGGAAAAGGGCTTTATTCCGGAGGATCGGGCCAGTCTAGATGCTTTTTTCCGGCTTTTCCCCAAGCCAGAAAAAAAGCGGTGGCCATGTTTATTTAAATCCCGCGGGGGATATTTAAATCCCCCACGGATTTCCCTATTCTGACTTTCAAAATTAGCATGCCCCTTCCGAAGAAGGGGCCAGTGTAGACTTAGCCAGAGTGAATTCTGGCCTGTTTTACTTTAACTACTATAACCAGCATCATCTGAGTCTGTCTACATCGGGGGTCGGCAACCTTTCCGAAGTGGCGTTTATTTAAATCCCGCGGGGGATATTTAAATCCCCCACGGATTTCCCTATTCTGACTTTCAAAATTAGCATGCCCCTTCCGAAGAAGGGGCCAGTGTAGACTTAGCCAGAGTGAATTCTGGCCTGTTTTACTTTAACTACTATAACCAGCATCATCTGAGTCTGTCTACATCGGGGGTCGGCAACCTTTCCGAAGTGGCGTGCCAAGATTCAGCTCTGGCTTTTCCTGTGAGGAGAAGAGGAGCAGCGTGTGTGCGCTTCCCCAGAAGCCAGATGCAGCGTGGGGCCTTGGAGCTTCCGCCCTGCCACAGGAAACCAGCACTGGCTCCAATATTGCGGGGGGCACAATGCTGGATCACCAGCATGGGGTGAGATCAGTGTGTTGGGGGTGGGCAGGTGGGTGACCCTGGGGTGTCCAGCCTTGATAGGGATGGGGTACATGGTGCTTTCGCCTTCCTGCCAGGTACCCGTGGCCAATGCAGCTTTGGGGCAGGGGGATCCCCCACGCATTTTCCTCTCCTCTCAGCAACTCCCCGCCACTGCCCAGCCCTAGAGCCGGAGACCAGGCAGCACTCACCCTCACGCCTACCCCAGCAATCACTTGTGCTCCAGAGAGAGTTCCCCTCCTCCCCAGCCTAGCCCAGCTCCTGCCTGCACCAGCAGCTGGCTCGGGGGCACCCCACTCCCTTACACAGCCTACCCACCCTTGAAGCAGCCCCAGTTCCCAGAGCAGCCCTGCTCCATCACGTGGCCCTGCCGACCGAGCTGCATAATTGCTGAGGAGCAGCAACCAGGGCCCTGATGAGGCCCCAGCAGGGACAGCTTCACTACGACCTGGCTCCAGCCATGGCACACGGCACTCAAAATCAGCTCGCGTGCCACTTATGACACATATGCCATACGTTGCCAACCCCTGGTCTACACTATAGCAGCTACCTCGGCACAGCTGAACAGATGCAGCTGTGCCACTGTAGTGCCACTGCAGTGCTTCTGGTGAAGACACTCTGAGGCACTGGGAGATAACTTCTCTGGGCTTAATAACTCTGCCTCTGTGAGAGGCAGCAGCTATGTCTGTAGGAGAAGCTATGTCTGTGTGAGAAGGGGTAAATAAGAATTTTTCTTCACACCATTCAGGATTATATAAATCTTTATTACATCCCCCATTGGTCATCTCTTTTCTAAACTGAATAGTCAGAGACTTTTCAATCTCTCCTCCTCTGGAAGACGTTTCATGCAAAGGACAACAAAGATGATGAGGTACATGAAACATCTGTTTGCACCATTCAAGGTGTGGATGTAGCATGGATTTATATAGTGGCATTATGATTGTTTCTTATCTATCTCTTTCCCAATGTTTCATTCTGTTAGTTTTTAAACTGCAACTCCACTTTGAGCAGATATTTTCAGAGAGTTGTCTATGATGATTTTGGGATCTCTTTCTTGAATGGTAACAGCTAGTATAGAACCTATCATTTTGAAGGTATAGCTAGGATTATGTTTTTCAGTGTGCATTACTTTGCAATTGTCAGTGTTGAACTTCATCTAGCATTTTGTTGCCTAGTCACCCAGTTTTGTGAGATTCCTTTATAACTCTTTGCAGCTTTGGACTTAACTATCTTCATTAATTTTGTATTGTCTGACACCTCATTGTTCACCCCTTTTTCAGTCATTTATTAAAATGTTGAACACTGGTTCCAATACAGATCCTTCAGAGACCATGCTATTTACCACTCTTCATACTGAAAACTGACCATTTATTCCTGTCCATTGTTTCCTATTTTATCCAGTTAAAGGTCCATGACAGGGCATTCCCTCTTATCCCTTGTCTGCTTACCTTACATAAGAGTCTATAGTGAAGGAGCTTAGAAAAGGCTTTTTGAAGGTCTAAGTACACTAATCACTTTTGTCCACATGCTTGTTGCTCTCTCAAAGATTTCTAATATGTTGACAAGACATGATTTTCCTTTACAAAAGAACTTTTCTCAACAGATCATGTTCGTCTATGTATCTGATCATTCTGTTCTTTACTACAGTTTCAACCAATTTGCCTGATACTGAAGGTTAGGTTTACTGTCCTGTAACTGCCAGGATCACCTTTGGTGCTTTTTAAACAAATCAGTGTTGCATTAACTATCCTCCAGTCTTCTGATACAGAAGCTGATTCAAATAATAGGTGACATTCCTATGCTGGATAGGAGGAGTGCTGGCTAGCATCTGGTGACTAAAGGGTTAAACTTAGATTGCTAGCAAGGGTGTTGGCAGGAGGCCAGAAGAACCAATGGGATACAGTGCTGAAATCTGAATTGCATATAGATACCATGCCTGCTCTCTTTGTTTACTGAAGGGCTGGAGGGAGCAGATGCAGTAATCAGAATTACCATGCCTCTAAAAAATATTGGACATGGGAGTGAACTGGACCTTGAGGTACGGATCAGCATGGATCATGAGTAGAAGGAAAACATGTATTTAGTCGCAATCAGGTTATTGTTCTCTATTTTGCTGTTTGATAAACCTTCTCTGTGTAAAATCCATGTGCTCTCCTCCCCCACCATTCGCTATTTAAGCCATGCCCAGAGATATCTTTTTTTTTCATCTGTGTTTTAATCTGCTTTTTTCTTAGTTGCTCTGTAACACCTAGCAACCAAGTATGCTTTATCAAGTATATCTGTTTGGTTTTGTTAATAAAATCACTTTTTGAAGGCAATGATTTGATTCTTGTGTCCTGGGAGGAAACAGGAGGTCTGTGTGTGTGTGTGCTTGCCTAAGACTGAGAGGTTAGCTAACAGAGACTGCAGTTTAGTTCTCTTTTTTTCCCAAGCTCTGTTGTGGTAAAAGAACTTGGAGATACCTCTCTGAAAGAAGTCCAAGTGCTTCCTTCCTGGGTTCAATAAGAAAGGGGTCTCTTTTTGTTTCACTTGGTGTTGAAGCTACCTCCCAAAGTCAGTGAATCTGAGACTCTAGAGAGTTTTTGTAATCAGAACCTATAGAGGAAAGGTAACTAAGGTATCTTGCGGGCCTCCACGTCCTACACTCAGAGTGCCAGAGTGAGAACAGCCCTGACTATACCATAGTTAATATTTTCACAATTTCAAATTTATTTCAGAAATCTTGGATGAATACCACTTGCTCCTGGTGTCTTATTACTGTTTAATTTGTCAATTTGTTCCAAAACCTCCTCTAATTGACACTTCAATCTTAGACAGTTCTTTAGATTGTCACTTAGAAAGGAATAGTCAGATGTGGGAAGTTTCCTCACAGATTCTGCAGTGAAGACTGAGGCAAAGAATTCATTTAGCTTCTCCACAATGGTCTTCTCTTCTTTGAGTGCTCCATTAGCGCCTTTATCATCCAGTGGCCCCACTGATTGTTTGGCAGGCTTCCCACTTCTGATGTACTTTAAAAAATTGTGTTAGTTTTTGAGTCTTTTGCTAGCTGATCCTTAAATTCTTTTTTGATCTGCATAATTTTTTTTCACTTGACTTGCCAGTGTTTACATTCTTTTGTATTTTCCTCTGCAGGTTTTGACTTTGAGTTTTTAAAGGATTCATTTTTTGGCCTCCAGTGACCTCTTTTATTCTGTTGTTTAGCCATTGTAGAATTTTGTGGTCCTCTTACTGCTTTTTTTCATTTGGGATATGCACTGAGTTTGAGCCTCTTTTACGGTGTTTCTATGAGGTTTCTATACAAACAGCAGGCATATGTCTCTTGCAACTATTCCTTTTACATTTTATTTAATGCACTTGCTCATTTTAGTGCAATTCCTCTTTTTGAAGCTGGATGGGTTTCATCCCTTACCAGAATGTTAAATTTAATTACATGATGATAACTATTACTGAGCTGTTCAGGTGTATTCTCCTCTTCATCCACTTACGATTATATCAAGTATTTCCTTTCCCCCTGTGCATTCTAGGACTAGCTGCTCCAAGAAGCCATTAATGTTGTTTAGAGATTTTATCTCCATATTCTGTCCTGAAGTGACATGTTGCCATTCAGTATGTGAATAGTTGAAATTCCTCAATGTGATTGGGTTTTCTGGTTTTGTAGCCACTCTGAGCTTCCCAAGCATTACACAATCACCATTACTGTCCTGGTCAAGTGGTCAGTAGTACACTCCTACTGCTATACTCCTATTATTCCAGCATTAGGAGAAGAGGAGATCTGAAGTCCTTGTTGAGTGAGGTTCCTCCATGACCCCTTCAGGTTGGTCATGTTGACTGGATCCTTTTCCTAACTTTATCATGCCTTTCTTAATATTCTTATTTCTGATTCATTTTAGTGATTAAAATATATAATCATCAACATCAGATTACATGTGTGAATATAAAATGACAAGTATACAAGTGAATACATAACACATGCTTTTGTTAAATAAGCGAGGGCATATTTAAATAGGACAAAGCAATGTAACATACAATCTAAATATGGAATAGTAAGAGGCAACTCAAGCTAGCAATTAGAGATTGTTATGAACCAAGATGTTAAATAAGAAAACTCTCAATTTTAAAGTGTTCAAAATTCAAAGCCAATTCATCCCTTCTATACAAGTATTATGGGATTACTTGGCAATTTACCTTATTCATCTTTATCTGTTCTCATCTCTGTTTTTGCTTTAGAGCCAAATCTTTCCATAATTGCAAGTCCAGTCTTCATTTTTTTCCATATCTGTAAAACTTGAGATCCTTTTTAAAGGATCCTTGAAACCATGAAAATATTTCACTAGCAAATATCCACACTTCGTCATGTCTAGATAATTTCTCAATAACTGATAAATATGTTCTATTAGGTACTCTTTTAACTGGGACCTGAACTCTTTGCCTTCAGCTGCCATTGGCTTCCATATGCCTGTCTGCTTCCATTTGAACGATTAGCTATAACTGACAATTATGTGAAGATCTTTTCATTTTGCACAATTTTTGCATTTTGAGTTTCTTTTAAAATCCTTCTTTGTTAAAAATCAAGATGTGCTGGTTCTTGGCAGCTATTCTGGAAATCATAACTCACTTGCTATGTGAGGCTAGCACACTGAGTGAAATAGAATCATGTGCTGAACTAAAGCTATGAATCCACTTTGTCCCAGGATGCAGTTTTAGCTTAGCCATCTTAAAGCAGAGCTTCTTACCATAATAGAGTGAAGCTATTTATTCATAGTGTGCATAGAGCATTCTGACAGTATGAAGGCTTTGGAATAAAGCAACACACTTATGTAGCAATTTCCTGCAGGAGACACTGGCAATTAAATTGTAAATATTTATGACCATTTAACTTCTGTAGTCTCATTTGTCCCCTTGGGCTAGTTCTGCAGCTTCATTTGAGATATAGTATGTAAGGATACAAAGATGCTTCCAAGTCACCTTTGTGTCCTTTAAAATTGGGAGTGGCCTGAAGCCATTCTTGTCTCCAGTGTAAATTAGAATAAACTCAGGGTTGCTCTAAATTACCCTTAGCTGTCTGTAGCCTTAGGAATTATTCTGACCACTAAGGGATTGTGGGGGTGTAAAAACATCCTGACAATACCCTCTTTCTCCTGGAAACAAAGGAAAGGGTTAGTCTAAAGATTTTTTTTATACAAGTGGATTTTTCAAGAAGGCAGTTAAACCAGCTTCTGCCCTGAACAGTCAAAGTTGTTTGAAGATACCAAAGTAGGATCCAGAATAAGTCTTTGTCTTTTAGGTACAACATATTAAATCAGGGGAGTGAATCCTACTCTGCTACAGCCATGGCATCAGTTGGAGTTGCAGATTGATTGGCCTGTAAATCTGCCTATAATCGTCAACATTATTTGTGTTTGCTTGACACAAATTAGTGCTGAATAAAATCCCCAGGTGGCTTCTATTAGTTATGTCTCATTTCATACAGAAAAATAGGTCATTTTATCTGCTCAATTATAGTTACCTTGTACCTTACTGTATGCCTATTTGTTTAGGAACTTGCCATACAATTCAGCCCGGGCATAGTTTTACCCCAGAGAATCCAGATGACATGAAATTAAGTAAGTGAAACCTCTATTTTATAAAGATGTTATAAGTATCCATTGCTAATTTCTGCTCTGAGTGTCATGTGTGCTGTGTCTGAAGGAACTGCAGAAATTAATGAGATACTTCAGATTCTAAAGGGAGAATTTGACTTTCAGCCAAAACTGCAAAGTGTATAGTGTCACAGTTCTTTTCCCTTTTGGAAAAATATAAAATAAACATAGGGGGTGTGTCTAGACTGGCAAGTTGCTTTTGTGCAGTTGCTTTTGCGCAAAATCTTGCCAGCTGTCTAAACTGGCCGCTAGAATTTGCACAAGAACACTGACGATCTAATGTAAGATTGTCAGTGTTCTTGCGCAAGAACTCTGATGCTCCCACTCGGGAAAAAGCTCTAGTGCGCAAGTGTTCTTGCGCAAGAGGGCCAGTGTAGACAGGGACAGGAATTTTTTGCGTAAGAAAGCCCCGATGGGCACAAATGCTTTTGCGCAAAGGCACTTGCCAATATAGATGCTCTTTTGCAGAAATACTTTTAACGGAAAAACTTTTCTGTTAAAAGTATTTCCACAAAATCATGCCAGTCTAGACGCAGCCAGATTGTTTAGACACTTACATCTGTCAACTCATAATATTGGAACCTAAATTTACAATGAATGGAATATTTTTGGTATTTCTACAATTCTTACTAAGTTATGATCAAATAAACAATAAACGAGACCTTTTGTGTTTAGAGCCTTGAGTTAGACCAAAGCAGTAACATTATTGCTAGTAGTAAAAAGCAGAACTCTGTAAGTGTACCCTTCAGATATTACTCTGACAAATAGCTGCTATAAAATACTGCCAGCAAACTGGCTGTAATAAAAATCAGTTTTCTGTCTTACAAGACAATTAACAGTACAGCAATGTGGTGATGAATTTGTGTAAATTTGTGTAAATTAAAGTAAAATAATCAAATGAGACTTACTTACGAGTCTCCTGAGTGAAATATATTTATTTTCACCAAGGCCATTTTCCATTTTCTTCTCAATAACATGTACAATGCCTACTGTGCAACAATAATTTAATACTACCTTTGCTTTTCTTGAAAAGAAAAAGAAATGCCATCAGTAGATATCATGGAGAGTTAAATAATTACCTTCTAAAGTGACTTTAATGCAGTGAAGAATCAAGTGCCATAGTATTTTAATGGTATAAAAAAGATTTATTACGACTTTGTTTTGAAGCAATAAGCAATGTGGCTTACACAGTGCAGCACTTTATCTCCCAGATGTCATTTCATGTTTTAGGAGGTGTGTGTGTGTGTGTGTGTGTGTGTGTGTGTGTGTGTGTGCAGTCCCCCCAAAACATAAAGACTGCCATATTACTAGCTTTTATGAAAAATACTCTGCCACTTTTTCTCACACTGAGTAGAATTCTATTAATCAAGTAGACCTATAGATTTCAATGGACTAAATTACCTTCTGCCCCTGAAAGAGGATTGCAAAATCCTGTGCTACATGAATGCAAATATGGAATACAATGCCTGTTGTTTGCACTGGAGTCATCAACATCACACAGGATCAAGGTCTGATCTTAGCTGTCCTAGTGTAAATCTGGAGAATTTTCAATTATGCCAATAATCTATTCTTTCAGATCTGTAGATTTATACAAGATTAATTCTGTTCAGAAGAGAGAGAGGAATTATAACCTGAAACTGTTTGACAGACAGAATGAAAAAAGATGAAAATGTCATCCGTAGTGATAAAACAGTGTCGCCAAAAAAAAGGGAGAGCTTTTCAATTGTTTTTATCAAACCAAAGCTAAACAGAATACTAAATCTATCAGTAAATTCTGTCATTCGCAGTATTAACATATATGCTGTCAGGAGAATTCCAGTTCTCTTCTAGTTATTTATTTTAAGTACCATAATAGATTTACACATTTTTCCACTAGTAAAACAGTAGCTCGAGACCCTTATTCTATACACACAGATCTGTTGCAATACATTATCATTTTGTGTTCTTGCCACCTGGCATTTGGATTACAATAAGTATTAATGTTGTATTACAGTGTCTGGTGAATTGAAAAGTTTCAATATATGTGCATCTATCTCTATTTTTAAGGTCACATTTTCATTGGGATGATAGTTGTTTTAACTTTTTTCTTTGGGAAATATCAGAAAAAAATCCTTTATACATGAAAAAGATCATATGAAAGTAATTAATAGGATTCACTCTTTCTTTCCCATACACTTATTTTAAAATGAAATCCAGTTGCTAAGCAAAATAAATACAGCACAGCATGGTGTTATGAAAAAGAAAAGCATCAATATGTAATTTCATTGAACTGACAAAATTTAATTATATTATTAACTTAATAACGGCTTCATGGAAAGCTGTAACAATAACACTATAACAGTGTTTGTTTAAATAGAATGATAAATTTGGCTTTATAGTAGTGTAAATAAAATGAAATATAATTAAATAAATTCATTTGTCCTTGTTACAAAGATGGGTATGTTTTTCATTATTTATGTTTGTGTATAAACCAAACAGGCTTATACTAAAGTAGGTAAGGTAACTGGCAACTATTCCAAAATATTCTGCAACAACATTCTCCATATGTGGTGCAACATGATTGAATCCCATTCTCAGCTGTCATGTTCCTGTACTGCTAGGAAGCAGAGTTACAAGTTCTGTATGGATGACTCTGGGATGCTATCTCCCAAAGTAAAACTGCTTTTCAGAGGAAGGACTTCCAGCAGGGCATAAAATCGTGGCTATTTATTGCACCACTGAGTATGTGGGTAAATATTTCACTGCCAATAGGAATTGGAAGTAAAAAGGATTATTTCCCCATTTCGATCCAATTTTAGTGGTGGCATAGGGTGTTATAATTTATCTTTATTTTTTAAAATCCATATCTCTCAAATCCTATGAACTCAGCTAAAACCTGTACTGGGGATTCCTGTCTAAAATAGAAAGCTAAGTAAAAGTTCTTCCATTGCTTTTCCTACCTCTGATTGATTAATGTGCCATATAAACAAGATTAGCCAGGAATGTGGGTCCCATGCTTTGTTTATGGGCATTTGGGGGATGTTAATCTGTTTTTGGCAGTGGCTGTTGAGTTTTTAAACTGAATAAACCAAATATTAAACAACTAGTATTTGCTGCAATTTTTAACATTAGCTTCCTTTAGACTACTCAGTTTTCAGCTCAGTTTATTGGCTGTAATACAATATACGACATCATATCCCAGGTCTCAGACTTAATCCTTTGCTTCTTAGTCAATAGGGATAGATGTATAGATTAAGTCAATGCAAAGTACTTAAGCACAAGTTTAATGTTGTCCCTAGCTATCAAATTAAAGGTTTGATGTCAGTGAAACTTTAGCAGACCTTATTCTTAAAGGGTATGTCTACACTAGCATTAATTCGAGTTATCTTAATTCGAATTAATTAATCCGAATTAAGATAATTCGAATTAATACATCTACACATAAAATGCAGTTCAAATTAGTGTTTTGCTGATTTGAACTACCGCATCCACACAGAGTGAACACTGAATTGGATTTAAGGCTGGCCGGAACCAGGTCAGGCAGGGAATCAGGTCAGGAGTGTCTGTGTGTGGCTGTTGCCTGAGGCTATCTGAGCCTTGTGCTTAAAGGGACACACACACACATCCAGCCCAGCCGGTTCTTAGGTGTCCCTGCTTGCTTGCCTACCTCACTGCAGGACAGGAAAGCATTTGTGTCTCTGAGTGCTTTGGTTGCCCTCACTCGAGACACCATATCACTCTGCAACATGGAGACAGAGCTTCCCCTGGGCACTCTGGTGCATCTCGTGGACGCGTTGCCATCAGCCTGGCTGCACCTGCTGCAGGCTGCCATCCGGGATGTCCATCGGGGGGCTGTCAGTATCCAGAAAGCCCTGTGGGAAAGCTTCCTCCCTAAGGAGCACTCAGAGCCTCCCTGGTCTGCCCACTGGGGGCTTGTGCCTCATTCCTCTCTCACATTCTTCCATTTACCCCACCCTAGTCCCCCTTCCTAATGTCAAATAAAATACATGTATTTTCATAAATGCAAACTCTGTTTATTTCCAGGGGAAGGGGACACCTGAGAGGAGGGACCTGGAAGGGAGAGGCAAAGGGAGGAAGGGGGAGGAGAAGCTCAGGGTTGGGGGTCTTGCCAGCCCTCCTGTCTCGCAGTACTGCACATGCAGGGGCATCGGCGTCCCTGGGGGGCAGTGAGTATGGCAGGTGGGGAAGTTCAGGAGGGGGACGGGGGAAGAAGTGGGAAGGGGAGCAGGAGTGGGAGAAGGAGTGATAGTAGGGGTGGCCACAGGGGCTGGAGCAGCAGCAGGCACCAATCTCTGCACCAGGGTCAGCAGGTGATCCCGTATGGCACGGCCCTGGGCAAGCAGCTCCCGCAAGCTCTTCCGCTGCAGCTGAAGGTCTTCCTCCACCCAGTGCTCCTGGTAGCAGACCTGCTCTAGCATATAGCGCCAGGTGCTGCCAGTGGTACTCCTCCAGGTGGCGGATCATCCTTCTGGCCCAGGTGCGGGAGGCTGTCCTGAGTGGAATGGTGTACCCTGCACTCGCAGCTGGTGCGGCTGTGGAGAAACCAGAGACATGCTCTATTATCCCTGGGGACAAAGTGGTGAAACCCAGCCCCCCTCTGCAAAGCGAGGATGGCAGGTCTCTGCACCATCATGTCCTGCTGTCCCCGGGAGAGTGAGCTGGCCCGGGACTGCACCCATGCCCCTGTGCTGTATATAGTGTGGGTGTATGTGGGGGAGAAGAGGAGGGGAGATGTGGCCTGCCTCTGCATAGAGGGGGCTTCTGGAGGGAGGGCACTGTGCAATGTCTCTCCCCAGGGTTAGGAGCATGTCATGTGCCTTCATACATACATCCATATGGGTAAGAAGCCAGGGACCCTGTGAGGCAGACAGCTGACGTGGCACATGCCCAGTTTCCTGCGTAATCCATGGTCAGCAAGGCCCACACGCTCCCTCCTCCCTGCTTAAGGGGACAGTAATGGAACT